AGACTGTGGAAATATGTATACTCGTCAAAACGCAGCTCGACATCGAAAAAGATGTGAAAAACAAACGGAACATAAGTGTCCAAACTGTCATTTTTATACAAAGAGCAAAGAGGAGATGGGTTATCATGTTGCCAAGAAGCATGGTCAACCAAGCTCGAAGCAATCGACGGTTTTTCCTTCTTGTGAACAAGAGTTCCAAAGTTACTACTCTCTCCAACAACATCGGAGAAAAGAACATGGAGCAAAACAACGGAAACAAAGATCATACGGTAGCCGACTTGAACAAAATTGTGGAGGAAGAAGGGGAAGATGGTGAAAAACTAAAGGAGGAACTTAGTGCTTGTCAACATTTTCTGGTGGATACGGAGATGGAAAATGGGAGACATAAGGTGTTTAACTTCCAAATGTCCAAGTTAGATACTAAAATAATTAACGAGAAACTTGAAGAAGTCTTCAACAAGCTCGATTCTGCAGCCAAAATCAACATTGCTTTGGGTTTTGTACTTCGAAACCTTGAGACTGGTGAATATCGATATTGCTACGCCCATGAAAACAATACTCTGCTTGAAAAATCCCACGTACTTTGTACGAAAGTGGATTTGATAACAATCCAAGGAAAATTAGAAAAATAAATTTGATATTGTGGAGCAATGTACCCAAGAACGCCAGAACACAAAGTGGCGATTCAAGTTGATTACTAACGTTTAAATTTTTGCTGCTTTGCTGAAAAACATCCCAATGGGATATCCAGACTCTGTCTTACCCGAACTTCTACTGAAAAACCATTCTGTTAACTGTCTTTTATCTAACAAGGACAATGAACCTTACAAAGATCATTTGTGTCTTTTCCGCGCATTGGCAATGTACATGAACGGACACAGAGATCTCGATTCTCACACTTCCAGATACTTTACAGATTTTATATCAAAATCTGGTTATGATCCTAAAAATTTTCGTGGAGTTTCTGTAGAAGACTTGCCTGTTGTCGAGGAAATTGTGCAAAGAAACATTTTTATATACGAATTCGATTTCCAAGAAGGAGATTTTGTAGGAGAATTAGCTCGAAGAAGTATCGGAAGATTCGATAAAACAGCTAAGCTACTGAGATTTAACAATCATATCATTCATACAAATGATATAGATAGTTTCTTCAAGTGCTTTCGATGCCCTAGCTGTGACACCTTTTTCCACAAATCGGACCACTGCAATCAGCATCTTCTGAGATGTAAGGACCGAATGAGACATATCTACCCAAAGAACGTGTTTGAACTTCGCGAAGCCTTGTTTGAAAAGCTAGAGGGATTCAATCTTCCATTTTCTGAAGATAACAAGCTCTTCAATAATCTAGCAATTTTCGGTTTTGAATCGATTTGTGTTCCTACAGAGGAATTAAAAGAAACGCAAACTACAACCTGGATTGGAAAACATGTCCCCATTTCAGTCTCTATATCATCGAATCTGATTGATGATCCCATCTTCTTGTACAACAAGGATCCACAGAACTTGATAATTGATTTTGTATCCAACCTCGAACTGTTAGCTGAAAAAAGTAAGTTGGAGATGAGAACAAAATTTCAAGATAATGAAAGAGCTGTCAATGAAAGAATGAAAAAGATCTTTGATCAGCTGAACGAACGTGGTAAAAATTCTTCAAGTAATAAGTTCGAGTATGAAGACGAATGCATTGAAGATTCGGAAGAAGCAGATATGTCAACAAAATTCTTGCGAATTCAGAAAAATCAACTCATCGATTTGAAACAACATCTGGAGAGATATATAAATACTTTACCTGTTTTAAGATTTAACAGCGGTAGATATGATTTGAATTTGATCAAGTCCTACCTAATCCCCTATTTGATTCGCGATAAAGAGCATGAAACATCCATAATCAAAAAAGCACAATGTACAATTTTCTCGACATAATGAAGTTTCTGGGAGGGGCAACTACTCTGGACTCCTTTCTCAAAGCCTATAAAGCTAGCGAAACGAAAGGATTCTTTCCCTATGAGTGGTTTGATAACCCGGACAAACTTGACTTTCCTGGATTGCCACCGTATGAAGCCTTTTTCAGTTAACTTAGAAACAACAATCCTGTAGACAAAGACTTCATTGATTATGAGAAGCTTAGAAAGAGTGGGCTTGACGAACAGCAGACACTGAAAAAGCTTCAAATCATGACTGTTCCTCCATCTGGTTTGGATAATTACAATTACTTACAAGAGACTTGGAAGAAAAACGGAATGACAGTATTCAAAGACTTTTTGAAATGGTACAACAACAAAGATGTAGTTATAACCCTGGAAGCAATGCAAAAAATGATTCAGTTTTATCATAACAAGGGGATAGATATGTTAAAACTTGGATACACACTTCCAAATCTAGCAAACATATGTCTACACAAATCCACAAACTACAAGTTTTATCCATTTTGCGAAAGTAATAAAGATTTGTGTGAAAAAATTAGAGAGAAAATGACTGGTGGTCCTTCCATTGTTTTTACTTGAAAAGCTGTAGTTGATGAGACATACATCAGAAATTCATCAAATGTTTGTAAATCAATTGTTGGAATTGATGCAAGCCAGCTTTACCCTTTCTCAATGTGTCAAGATATGCCAACAGGACTGTACACGAGATGGGAGTTTGACACTGATATATAGAAATTCAAGGCTAGACATAATCGAACTCGTAACTTTGAAAATATGGTCATGTCTTTCTATCAGGAAGACCAGCATGTAAAATTGAGAGCTTTTTCACATCTGGAAAACAGAAAAAAATCAACTGTTTTAATGTGGACGGTTATTGTGATCACTGTAAGACAGTGTTTGAAGCAATGGGATGTTACTACCACTTCTGTTTCTGTCAAGAAGCTCGTTCCTCCTTAACAGAACAGGATACTGAGCGAGGAAACAAGAAGAGAGAGATGGATGATATGCGACGAGAATACATTAAAGAGAAAGGATACAAAGTGGAAGAAATGTGGGAGTGTGACTGGTGGGAAAGTTTCAAAACCGATGACAAGATCGAAAATCACGTCAGAACCCATTTTCCCTACAAAAGACCTCTTTCTACAGACTCCCTTCTAGCAAAAATAAAAGATGGATCTCTTTTTGGTTACGTTCAGTGCGACTTAGTTGTCCCAGATGAGCTAAAATCAAAATTTGCCAACTTTACTCCAATTTTCAAAAACATTAAAGTTGGAAGAAATGATATTGGAGGTTACATGAAAAACTATGCAATCGAAAACGAAATGTTAAAGCATCACCAGAGAATGCTGATATCTAGTTTCAAGCTAGAAAATGGAAGAGTTATAACTCCTCTGTTCAACTTTTATATGGAACTTGGATTGCAGTGCACCAAAATTTACCGTTTTGTTCAATATTCTCCTCGGAAATGCTTTAATAATTTCGTTCAGTCAGTGGTTGATGCTAGAAGAGAAGGAGATGAAAACCCTTTGTCAGGAGTTGTAGCAGAAACAATGAAACTTTTGGGTAATTCCTCAATTGGATATCAGATCATGGATAGATCCAGGTATACAATCACAAAATATCTGAACGATGAAAAAACTCAAAAAGCAATCAATGAGCCATTGTTCAAAAGACTGAATACAGTTGAAAAAGACTTGTATGAGGTGGAGTTGTTGAAATCAACCATTGAACACAGAGAACCCATCATCGTTGGATTTTTCATACTGCAGTATGCGAAACTGAGAATGTTGGAACTCTACTATAACTTCTTCAACGAATTTTGTGATGTAAACAAATTTGAAGAGCTAGAGATGGACACAGACTCGCTTTACTTGGCTCTTGCTGAAGAAAATTTATACGACTGTATCAAACCAGATAAGAGAGCTGCTTGGGAAAAAATGAGGGAAAATGATTGTAGAGACTCTTTCAATCTTTCAAGGCGGATGCAAAATCTAGTTTCTTCCCTCGAACGTGTTGCAGTACGCATAAAAGCATGACAAGCGGGAGCCGGGACTTTTTAAAGAAGAATTTAGATGTACAGAAATGCTATGTTTGTGTAGCAAGACATATTGCTGCTGTGACAACAAGTCCGATAAGTTCAAATTTAGCAGTAAAGGACTAAATAAACGGGTTCTAGAAGATTCTGGAGACTGCCCCATGTCAAAATACAGAAGAGTGCTTGATGAAGCAATTAACCTTACATCTACTTACAGAGGATTCAGAACTATAAATCATATGGTAGCCACGTATGAACAGACAAAGAAAGGACTAAGCAATTTTTATCCAAAAAGACAAGTACAAGATGACGGAATTCATACAAAACCATTGAACTTATAAGAACTGTTCTGGTATAGTATATTTATTCATGATGTCGTGTTATATTGATTTTATGATATTAAAAAGTAAAATGTTGCGGTAAACTTGTTATACAATGCAGTGATTTCTATATTTTCATTGTAACTTATTTTCTTTCTCAAAAACTTGACTTTTCGAACTTCAGTAGGTTTCAGAATAGATTCAGATAGATAGAAAGTAAAAGTATCTAATAAATTTTTATTAGATCAAATCAAACAAAATCTTATCGTGTTTTGAATTTTTTCCAAAAAATTTTAAATTTTTTTGATAAAAATTCCAAATTTTTGCAGAAAAACTCTTTCCATTGACTTACCATGCACCAAAACACTAAATACATAACCTTAATTCTACAATCTACTCGTAATTAACAATTAATTGTTCCCAATTAGATAAAGCGCCCCCAAAAATTTTGCGAAAAAAATAAACATTTCCACACAAAAACCAAAAAAAATACGTTTTTTGTACCATTATCTTACCATCACACAAACCATAAAACCTTACCATCGGTATTCCCTATCTTAATACATTTTAGACTCTATACCCAATCTTAATACATAGTATGGAAGACCGGAAATCTATAACGTATCTTAATACATGGGGTCTTCCATGCACCCCCCCCCCCCCCTGATCAGCCTCTCTTGGTTAACTAAAAATTATTAGAGTTTTCTTCCTGTTTAACAGGTGGTTGTTGTGACTTCCAAGAGAAGCAATATCTACTCGAGGGTTTCTCTAAAGGCCTCACAGCTCAACAATACTATGAGAAACTCACCGATTTCTCACTCAGGCCCGTCAAAACACTCAACTGGATCAAGGCAAGCTGAAATTTATTACCTGCTATCACTTATTTTGTTAACAATTTCTACAGTGTTTTCATATACAGCACAAAATTTTTGAACCAGTTTATACAACTTTTGCGAGGGTGTGGCGGGCTAATATTTAAAAAGATTTATCAACCTCTTTATTAGTTTTAAAGTTTTCAAGATTAAATAAATGTCTTAAAATTTTATCTTTTTTAGTTCCGATAAGTATCCGATTATATTTAAAAAATCAGTTTGTAACATTCTTGTTAATTTTTGTACAAAAATTTCCAATTTCAATTTAAATTTTTAGGCCTATTTCGAAAGCAAAATCTGTGTGAACGTCATTACCGAAATCGGATTTGGCGAGGGAGAATTGCGGTACGGCGGAGATTTTTCGCCTGACCTTTCATTCGCTTTTCCTTATAGACTCGACCAACAAATTGTAATTTTATCAGACTCTCAGTTAATGGATGGATACCTCACTTTTGCCTGGTTCAAAGCGAATTTTATTTGTAAGGATCAACCTTGGATATGCGAGGGCGAACCCTTGTCTCAGCATCGATTTTTGCTTCAAACGCAGGATTCCAACCTGAAGAACTCACACACATTTTCAAAGGAAGAAATGGACGATTTAAGCTAGCAAATGTTTAAAGTTTTAATGTTGATAGTTAGAAATTAAAATAAACTTTGAAAATAAATTGAGAGGTAATTTCTCATGAGCGACGAGCGCGGATCATGGTGGTTTTATCTGGCTCGAGCCTTATTAGATGGTTTTAGGTATTAAGATAAACAGTTTACGAATCCACTCAACAACAAACTCAAAGATGTAACAACTAACACCTGAAAACAAAAAGAAGAGTCTAAATAAGGAATGATGACGATGAGGATGATGGTTTTGACTGAGAAATAAAAATTTAACCCATTTCCTTGAACCTTCATTTTATGTGATGAAAGATTCGAGCCTTCCCGAAACAAAGAAGAAATGATATAACCCATAGTATAAAAAATGTACTCGTTTTTCAACTTGATAAAGCATGAGATTAGTTTCGCTGGACCTCGGGCCGAGGTACGTGACCGGTCACACTATGTCTAGGCGCCTCAAAATAGGCATTTCGCCATTGCCAAAAATTTTCTGGAATAGGAATTCATAGCAGCGGATTTTTTGGCGTAAATTAGCTCTATAATTATGCTTTGAGATAATTTTTTAATGCATAATTTTTCTAAAACGGCTGGTGCCTTCTTGCATTTTTTTTTTAAAATCCGCCCCCTCTCGAGAAGTTCCTAGATCCGCGCCTGATCTCACTTATTTAACCTCACTGATAATTATGGTACGAAGTAATTAACTCTCTTCAGTAGCAACTTTCAAACAGATAAACTTTTTATAGCTTAATTTTTTTGCTCAAATGTTGAAAAAGTAGTGAAAAAGATAACATGTATCTCTGCAACTTTTGAAGTTTATATAATTTGATGATTTCTGCAAAATTAAAGAAAGTTTATCTTTAAATTGTTATGAGGCTCATCATTTTGCTTGAAATCAATTTAAATATTTGTTTCAACTTTTAAAGAAAATGCAGAATATTTAAGGTTGGGTTGGTTTTTTCATTCAGTGAGCTTCCAACTTTTTAACCATTTTTGACCAAAGTTTTCAACAACTTCTTCTTTTATATTTTTATTATTGTTATTTTGTATTGTTTATATAAAACAATTTTTAAATGATTTTATACCAGATATTGTTGTCTGGATTCGAATTTCAAAAAATATTTCGCCTGTGATCTTTTTTCAGAAACTTGCGGGAAATTAAATTTTAGTAGTATCGCCGTTTTGGAATAATTAACGCACAAGAGTTTTCATTCTCATAACACAAACAAGACTGCTCGGATCAGGGCGAAGCCTTAAATGTCCGACTGCTTTTTAAGGTTTATGGAGCAGTAACAAAAATGAAATAAAAAAATGTGAAATTTTTTTTTCTAAAATTTGAATTTTTTCTATGAAAATCCTCCCCCCACAGGCCACATAAAATACAAAAGGATAGATTTCGCTCCTTGTAACAAACCATTTATGGCAAATAAGCTTCTTTTAACCAATTTGGAACGATTTCTAAGACGGATTAACTCTCTGCTCACGCGTTAATAGCGCGAGTTATATCGCGCGTTAATTGTCCCAAATTGCCAAATGGCAATCTTTTATTCTGGCCTTTTTTATAACTTTTTTATAACTTATAAAACAGGAAACAGAATCGGTTTAATTCAAGAGAATCAATAAACGGCGAATTTTAGTAATTTTTATTGCACGGAATTAGCAACAACATTACACGTATCAAGTTAAAAAGTCGGCTTGTTCATGCCCTGATTTGCGTGATTTATGTGTTTTTTCACAATGAGTTCATACTTAGTTCACGCAGTTTAATTAACAGAAACTCAATTGCAAACCAATTTTGAACCGATTAAAATATTAGCATTTTATGTTCTGTCAGGTTCGGCTCAAATAGGATTCTCAAATGAAACGACTTAGGTGAGAATCGAACCCACGCCGAACTCCCCGGAACGCACTATGTATACGCTGAGCTATATAGCTGATATTGATAAGCAACTATACTGGCTTTGTACTATACTTTCATACTTTAATGCTATGTAGCATTAACATCCTCCACCCCCGAAGGAGCGAGAACCGGAACGAGCTTAACGAGCGGCCGAGTGTAGTTTCCGGAAACGGTCCTTAGGTTTGCGGAACGGGCGGTGTTGTCTTTGCCGTAGTTTAGCGACGTTATGCGTGCTAGTGGGTAGTGGCCCCTAGGGCTAGTGGATTCAACTAACCACACCATATCTCCCGTTTTCAAAGAGTATTCGGGAGGAGCATGCCACTTGACTCTTTTATTGATTGTAGGGACGTACTCACTTAACCATCGCTGCCAAATTGCGTTTGCGTACGACTGCGCACGGGCATAGCGCTTAGAGTGAGAATAGTTTTCACTCGACCTTAGAGACGGAAACGTTAGACTGTGCTGACCTAAGAGGAAATGATTCGGCGTCAAAGCCTCAAGACTATCGGGGTCGTCAGAAACGGGAGTGAGTGGACGGGCGTTTAGTGAACCTTCAACTAGGCACATGGTTGTGTTCAAAATCTCGTCAGTCAATTTTCTTGACCCTAAGATTGCATAAAACACACGCTTACAACTGCGCACCATTCGCTCCCATGCTCCACCTTGATGTGGTGCACTTGGCGGATTATACTTCCACTTAATGCCTTTGTGTACGAGCGACAGTGGAGCTTCTGCGTTCCAATTTTTGATGCACAGAAGAAGCTCTTTTTCGGCTCCTACAAAGTTTGTTCTGTTGTCCGACCAAATTATTGAGGGTGTTCCTCGCCTAGAAATAAAGCGCTCGATAGCCATCACACATGAACTTGTGTCCATGGATGGAACCAACTCAATGTGAATTGCGCGAGTCGTTAAGCAAGTAAATAGAAAACCCCAGCGTTTCTCGGAAGATCGACGAATGGTTACATGAAATGGTCCAAAATAATCGACGCCGCAGTTCGAGAACGGTGGCTGGCGGTAACCTAGACGCTCCGCGGGAAGGTCAGACATCATTGGAGTAACGGTTTTCGCTTTTCGCTTTCTACAGCACACGCAATGTGTTTCAATAGCTCTTAGTGCAGATCTTAAGCGTAGTACAACAAATTGCTGATGAATGACGGAACGAAGGTAGTCGACTGACTGATGTTCATGCTTAATGTGATAAAAACGGAGAAACAATCGGATTAGGCGATGGCGGCTATCCAAAATTATTGGATGGCGAGTTTCGAATGCGGTTGCAGAGAGACGTTGGATACGGCCGGTAGATCTAATTAAACCGTTCGGCCCGATAAAAGGCGAATACGATGATATACGGCTCGACGTTTTCACATATTTTCCAGCTGCTAATTGTTTACTTTCAGCTGGGAATGACTCTAACTGCGAAAGTTGCAAAAGTTTTTCCACTGAAATAACAAGTTCTGCTGGATCAATTATGGTCTTATCTGGTGATCTGAAATGTCTATGCTTAGGTGAGAGTCTCAACATATATGCGACCAGTCGCTTTATCTTGGAGAACGAGCTATACTCTTTCCAAGGGAAGGCAAAGTCAGTCGAAACTGCAGTGCACGGAAAATTGGAAGAGACCTCTAAACCCTCGTTTAGATCGTAGACCGGACCATCCAGGCGAATTTTGTCAGTAACTTCCCTATTTGGATTGAAAGGCCAATCAGAAGTTTTCAAAAAGGAAGGGCCGTTTATCCAACTGCTTTGCTTGAGGGAGTCAGCAGTAATACCTCTAGTTCCTGTGTCAGCGGGGTTGTCTCCACTCAAAACATGGAACCATTGGTCAATTGATGTTGACTCCAGAATCTCGGCAACTCGATTGGCTACAAACACGGGCTGTTTGCTTGTCGAGTTCAACCACTGAAGGACTGTTGTGCTGTCAGTCCACATGAACACTTTGGAAATACTCAGTGTCAGAGCTTTCTCGATATCATCCTTCAGGCGACTGGCAAGAAGCGCAGCCTGAAGTTCCAACTTCGGAATTGAAAGCATCTTCATCGGGGCTACCCTTGCTTTACCGAAAACAAACGCTAGTTGACATTTGGAACAGGCGTTTTTTTGAGCTCGAAGGAATGCTACAGAACAGAAAACGTCCAATGAGCTATCACCGAACATGTGCAGCTCAACCTCATCTACTGAGAAGTCAAAATAGCAACGAGGTATTATGAGCTGCCCTAAAACTGGCAAGCCAGAGTGCCATTCAGTGAATCTGCGGCACAACTCAATTGGCAGTGGGTCGTCCCACTGTTGGCCAATCAATCTCAAGATATCTTTCAGTAACAAACGTGCGCGTACGGTATACGGGGCGACAAGACCTATAGGGTCGAACACGGAGGACACAAAACTAAGGACCGATCGCTGCGTAACAGAGTCTTTGAGTTCGCGGTTGACTCCTCTGCTCGCAACCAACGTATCGGTGACGTGGTCCCATTTGAGACCGAGAACATGCGATGCGGTTTCCGGATTAATCGCAGCGGTAATAATTTCCTTACTGTTGTTAGCGCTGGTCTTAGTGGGATTTAGTTTTGAAGACAAATTGGGAACGTTGCTAATAAATTTTGTAAGATTAAACCCACCCAACTTAAGCAGTTCAACTCAACTGCGACTTAACCTTAAAGCAGTTTATGGGTTTTTCACAGACCCAAGGTAGTCATCCATGTAAAAGTTGTTAAGCACGGCGCAAGCGGCATCGGGGTAACGATCTTGGTTATCGACGACTGTTCGGCAAAGAGCATAGTTAGCACATGTCGGAGAATCTTTCGCTCCAAATATATGCCGTGTATATTGAAATACACTCACATCTGATGTGGGGTCCTCCCGCCACAAAAAACTCAAGGAACGTTGATCGCTTTCTAGTAAGCCGACCTGCATAAACATGCCTTCGATATCTGCGGAAATTGCGTATTTGTGCTCTCGGAAGCGCATTAAAACGAATAAAAGGTTCTGAAGCAGATCGGGGCCGACGAGAAGGGAGTTATTCAGTGAATTGCCGTGAAACCTAGAAGCACCGTTTAAAACACGCCGAACTTTGCTGGGTTTGTTCGGTTTTAAAACTGGGTGGTGCGGTACGTACCATTCTCGGTCTGAACGGTTTTTTGAGTCGTGAGGGCTAACCGGGACCACGTAACCCTTCTCGACATCACTTCGGATATCTGATGCGTATTGAGTTTTCAGGTTTAAATCTTTCTCTAGACGCTTTTCAAGAGACTTAAACTGGACTAACGAAGCGTAAAAGTTATCGGGAAGATGAATGTTGTCATCAGCCC